CGACTTTGCGGGTGCGGGTATAAAATATCGAGCACGGACTCACACCAGGTCTGCTCGTCCTGCCTTGGGCTGGAACATGCCCGGAAAGCTATCGACGCCCCCGGTTCGTGCGGACACTGTGCCCGCTTCACTTTCAAGAGCCTCCACCGACGGCTAGCACGCCAAGCTAGCCTGTCGGGACGAGACCCTTTCATGTCTAGCGATATGCCGGCCGGCAACCGAGACATGGGGGAAGCCGCCACGGAGGCTGAGCCGTGCGCTGAGGCTGAGACTTGCGCTGAGGCTAGCTGGGGCTCCCAGCTGGACCTCACCGTGGCTCCGCCCGTGGAGGACGTCTTGGTGTTGGACTATATGGACATATCCGACTCAGACGAGGATGATATATTCGTTCAGGCTGCCAAGCCTGATGCTGTGTCTGCCCCTCCGGGCGAAAGCATACCAGCTTCGCCCCGTCTCAGCATGGATTTGCAAGGCGTGTGCCAACACGCTGCATCCAGGCTGGACATCCCCTGGCCTGAAGTAGTGAAGGAGACCACCAGATCTCGCTACGAGGGGAAGAATTTGCCCCAGGCTGCGAGGATGGCAAGACAGCTTTTCCCAGTTTTTTCCGGAGCTGTTGGACGAGGTGTCTGTCTTTTGGAGCCGCTAGTTGCAGCCCACCTCCAACTGTCAGGTCGCTCAACGTCTCGTCAATGCTGACTGCTTACCAACAATAGAAATCTCGGTTCAATTCAGTATAATTGAATCACAATCTTTTATTATTGTAGGGATACAATACATAAGTTTACCAGCTAATCAGATAAATAGTGAGTGACTCCCTCAAACATGCCTTTTGACGTTTCTATAAAATAAAAAATATTTGGGGGGATAATGTACGAGGGACTCAATAACTCTCTTTCCAAATACTGGAAAAAATAAGACTGGATTGCATATCCTTTGTTTTTCATTTGTTTATAAAAGCATTGTGCACACATAACATATCCACAAATTACTTTTTAGATTTAGATAGATTAACAACCTTATTAAGTTAGGGAGGTGACTGCAATATTAGTAATTCTTAATATTGGTAATAAATATTAAGCATTTGACATTCAATGTTCATTAAATAGTGAGTATATGAATGCAGTAGCAGCAACAAAGTGACTTACCCACAGGAGAAATAGTACTGATATGATCCAGCTACGATTAGGTCCAGTCTGCAGTATTTATCACAGTCATCCTCCCATCCGTTCGGGTAGAACCAGTCCAAAGGATGAAACTTAAGGCGATCAAACTTGTGGCCTTTTGCAGGGTAGTTGGTGTAAACCTGGACATCTTTACCCTGGAGGGTAGGACCAAGGCGGAACTGCAGCTCAAAGCCTAAAGACAGCAGGAGTAATCAATCAATCAATCAATCAATCAATCAATCAATCAATCAATGCTTATTTATATAGCCCAATATCACAAATGTTACAATACACAGTTATAATACACTGTTAAACTACACATAGTGCCCTCACGAGGGGTTCAATTGAGTCTGTTAACAAGGGTGCTTTTAACCCGCTAATGTGGTGTTTTCCTGTTTACTGGTGTTTAAAAAAAGGAATACTTACTATATCAAATAACCACATGGTAACGTTATCTTTTATACCCATATGTGAATGAAATACTTGACAAATATGTATATATTAGGGCTGTCAACTGATTGATGTTTAATTTACATCAATGTTAGTGTTTGCTGTGACTGCTCATTCGCTTAATCCTGGCAAACAAAGCCTAGATAACTTCACACTCACCTCCCTGAATGGATATCATTACTTGAAAAAAACAAACCCCAAAATGTTTTGGCTTTTTTAATTGCCACCCTTTACCACCAAATACATTATATATAGAGCAGGTATGGGCAAACTAAGGCCCGCGGGCCATATAAGGCCCGTTGGGCTTTTTAATCCGGCCCGCCGAATATTGGTGCCAAATTGTCCAAATTGTAGTAAAGACCGCATTAATTTTGCCTTTTTCCTGCAATACCCGGCATTTCAGCTTATCCCACTTATCCCACTAGATGGCGCACTCTAGACACAATTGACCTTTGCTGGAGTTGGCAACCAGGCAAGAGCTAAGAATCAAATATGTCACGCTTACATTGGAGGGGGTCGAGATTAACCTGAGCAATAACAGTTGAGTACAGCGAAAACAAGTTGTAACAAGCAGTAGCGCTGAGCAAAGTGACTAGAACGCAACCACACACTAACCCCCTCGATTCCACCGGGTCCGGCTGCAAGTCTATTTGCGACGCGAGGCGTTGCATAGCACTGGGCAGGAAAAGCATCCAGTCAATCCCCAAAATAAACAAATTTTGCAGACCCTATCCCTCCGTAGTCTTTCAAGTAGGAGGAGAAATGCCAGCGTTCTCCTCCGTTTTACAGGCACTGTGTAAATTATATATATAGAATAATTATGATGATGAATGCATTTTTTTCCCACTGAAATATAGCAACACATCTTTGATTCATGTCGTTTATATCTGGAATATTACAATTATTATTAACTTTGTCTGTACAAAGTAGCCTGTCCAGGATATATGCCCAAATCAACAAAAACTGCGAGCCGGCACCCAAGACGCTCCCCTTCTGAAATGCTTCTTAAACGCTCCTGAAACGCGCATGGTAGGTTATCACGCCGGAGGAGACCGGACCAAA